GACCATATTGACAGTAGGCACTGTTGTTCTACGTGTCATGCTCTTAGCGGGTATCTTGTCGGAATTCTTAGGGGTGCTTAGAGCGTCTCAGATCGCGCAGCACCTACATGGGTATTCCCCCGAAAGTAGCCGTACCCCACCCCAAAATCCTAGAAACAATTCTCACCCCCCAAGTTTCGGAAACCCCAACATAGCGGTGGAACTCGGGGCCCAAGCCGACCTTGCCCAACCCTGCTCTGCAGGCCCTCTGGCTGGCGACATGGCTTCATTTTGTTGATGGCCAGCAGGCTGGGGATCACGTCGCCGAACATCTTCCCTAAACCCCTAAACCCCTAAACCCCTAGACCCCTAGACCCCTAGACCCCTAAACCCTAAACCCTAAACCCTAAACCCTAAACCCTAAACCCTAAACCCTAAACCCCTAAGCAGAGTTCGGAGGATGCAGCTCCTGCTGCTTTCGAACGTTTTGGCGATGGTGATTGTGCGTGGCACCTACTGCTGCTTATCGAGAGCTCCCTTGAAGAGTGGCTGGTTCTTAGTCAGGAATGAGGGAATGAGGGCCCTATGTAATCCCTTAAAGGGTATACATAGGGCAATCATTGGGAGAATTAGGGCCCTCTCTCATCCCTTAAAGGGCCTCATTCCCTCAGTACCGAGAACCAGGGGGCAAGAGTGTGCATTCCATCAGTCTTCTGCCTAGTTGACGTGCACCTGCTGCTTGGTCCTAGATGACGAACGCCATGCTTCCCATTCGCGGGCGTTCGCGACGGGACCGGCTCCTATCCGCGCCGCATGCTGTCAATACTCTACATTCCGGGATCCACCCCGGCCTGAATCCGAGCCTCCTAAACCCCAAGCCCTAGGCCCTAAGCCCTCAACCCCAAAGTACACCCCCCGGCCAAAGCTCTGCAGGACTTGGAACATGGCGAATGTCGAGCCATCTGCAACACCGACAACTGCATCGGGTGCGCCCGTCTTCCGAGTTGGGCGTTCGCCTCCCTAGAATCTACACCTACCGGCTGATTCTTAGTAGGGAATGAGGGAGTTCGGGCGCTGTATAATCCCTTAAAGGGTATATATATATATGTGTATATGTATATGTATATGTATATGTATATGCATATGTAGATGTAACATATATATATATGTATATATGTGTATATAGGACCCCTCAGTCCCTCATTCCCTACTAAGAACCAGTGTGCCTACAGATTCGTGGCAGAGGTACACCTATGCACCGTGTGAACGCATCTGCGCCTTGCACGGGGACCGCTCGAAGCAGTGGGGAAGGTAACATAGGGGACCCAAGTAAGCAAGGGTTTAGGGTTTAGGGTTTAGGGTTTAGGGTTTAGGGTTTGGGTTAGTTTTCCGGTTCAGGGCGTGCATGGGCGTGCTTTCCGTAGCAGGTATAGCTACCATACATACATGTCCAGAAACCCGGAAAGAATAGTCCGCTCGTCCGTGTGTTTAGGCGGGGAGTTGAATGAGGTCCAGACAAGACGCCCTATGTAAGTCCTGGGCGCTATAAACCCTTAATCCCAAACCCCTAACCCCTAATCCCTAAACCATAAACCCTTAAACCCCTAAACCCCTAAACCCCTAAACCCCTAAACCCCTAAACCCCTAAACCCCTAAACCCCTAAACCCCTAAACCCCTAAACCCCTCAACCCCTAAACCCCTAAACCCCTAAACCCCTAAACCCCTAAACCCCTAAATCCCTAAACCTCTAAACCCCTAAACCCCTAAACCCCTAAACCCCTAAACCCTAAACCCTAAACCCTACATCTTCTTGAGTCGAAAGCCCTCAGTTTGTGGAGGAGCCGGAGCTCTTCAGAGGCCTACCGGACCCGGAGCGTGCGCCCCCTCAGCTTCCTCGTAGCGCACGCAGGGGAGGGGTTTAGGGTTTAGGGTTTAGGGTTTAGGGTTTAGGGTTTAGGGTTTAGGGTTTAGGGTTTAGGGTTTAGGGTTTAGGGTTTAGGGTTTAGAGTTGAGGGTTGAGGGTTGAGGGTTGAGGCTTGAGGGGTTAGGGTTTAGGGTTTAGGAGCCTGGAATCCTGCGGGCCCCGCCCCAACTGTTCCTGCTCTCCCCAAGAAAATAGGGGCCCAAACAACTGGGGCCTTAGACCCTAGACATTAAACCCGAATAACGTAAAATAAGGACCCAAGTATCTGGGCCCTAAACCCTGAACTTCAAACCCCTAAAAGCCCGAAAGAAGGACCCAATGAACTGGGGCCGGACCCTAAACCTTAAGACCCTCAACCTTAAGACCCACGATGCTAAAAACCCTAGACCCTAAACCCTAAACCCTAAACCCTAAACCCTAAACCCTAAGCCCTAAACCCTAAACCCTAAACCCTAAACCCCAAGATGCTTGCTGGTCTGGGGAGTTGCTAAGCTTCTTTGAACCCAAGGATGGTCGACAACCAACGGAGGAGGCATGGAATCCCCAAAGCCCTGCGTAGGGTTTAGGGTTTCGAGTTTAGGGTTCAGGGTTTAGGGTTTAGGGCTTAGGGTTTAGGGTTTGGGGTTGGGTTTAGGGTTTACGGTTTAGGGTTTCGGGTTGCAGTTGGTACAAATATACTCATATGGGAGTTGACTTTCAAGTAATGGTCTCGATTAATTATATACACTCGATTTCCTATACACACGTGCCATAACATGGGATCAACCCTGACCGGAGGTTCATGGTACTTATAGCCTCATTATGACCGTACTTTTCACCCACTTCTCAACTCCTTAAGTGCGCTAATGTGGCTATAATAGCGTAAGTAGTAAGTACAGTTTTTCAGTGCATTCATAAGCACCATAAACTTTGACTTTGAGTGCGCAGCAACAGAATCGAAGCCCAGCGGTCCGGTAGACAGGCCTATGACCCGGCTTTCAAGAAAGCCGTAGCAGCAGCTACATCTACCAAGAACGAAAACATAACCCTATCGTGTGGTGAAATCTCAGTACCACAAACCTCCAAGTGGATGTGCTACATTGTCGGGGCTCTTGTGGCCCATGTTCGGGTAGTCGAAATGGGCCTTACTGTATCAGGGACCCAAAAGGTCATGAACCTGGGGAAGTGACTATGGCGCTCAGGGCATACAGTAAACTCCCACAAGTTGGAGGACATCCTTATCCTCATGCTCCCAGAGGGTTACTCAGCAAAGGACTCCTGGCACTAATCGTCCTGAAACCATGTTCCAACTTTCCGGAGCTTACTGTAGGGTGATATGGCATGTATCGGGTTCCGGCATTTTGAGGTTCACAGATTTGGCCGAGAGTTGGAGCATGTCAGATTTAGGGTTATTATAAGGGGACTCCTCAAGAATTATGCCGTACACCCCTAAAACGGCTTTGAGGTGTCAGCATTCAAAAAAGCACAGGCCTCATCGCCAACACGAACGGGAGATGCGGCCATGCCCTTGGGCGTTTAGGGTTTGGGGTTTAGGGTTTAGGGTTTTAGGGTTTTCGAATCTATGAGAATTTTCTACCTGTGTCATCCTCTGTGTCACGACAGTCAGACAAGCAACAAAAATCGACATAATGCGTGGCTATGTTGAACAACCTTCAACTACCTTGACTCTCTCTCTCTCTCTTGATCACATTCCTTGTGGGGCAGTGCGCCGAAGCGGCTTGGCCACACCTTTTCCGTGACACTTGTCTCCAGGTTCCTCCTGTTACGTGCGGAAGGCACCATGCCAGGGTGGCACATTGCAGTGCCGCCCTCGTTGAAGAGCTTCCTGAGAGCATTGCAGTTGGGGTTTAGGGTTTAGGGTTTAGGGTTTAGGGTTTAGGGTTTAGGGTTTAGGGTTTAGGGTTTAGGGTTTAGGGTTTAGGGTTTAGGGTTTAGGGTATAGGGTTTAGGGCTTTTTGGCTTAGGGCCAGCCCGGTAGGTGCCGCTTCGGATTGCGTTGGGAAGCAAAGGTCTGCTGGCGCTTTCATGAATTACGAATCGCTGACCTACGGGGTCACCCGCCGGAGGCTAAAGCTGGCTAGTTCTTAGATGCTCTTAGTAGGGAATGAGGGAATGAGGGCCCTACATACTCCCTTAAAGGGTATATATATATATATATATATTCCCTTAAAGGGTATATATATATATATGTATATATATATATATATATATATATATATAGACATATAGGGCCCTCATTCCCTCATCTCCTACTAAGAACCAGGGAAAATCGCAGCGTCCGCCGAAAACCGAGGCACCCTGGACTGCCCGTTTCCTCACAAGGGATCCGTCTCTGCAACTCGGCGTTTAGGGGTTTAGGGGTTTAGGGGTTTAGGGGTTTAGGGTTTAGGGTTTAGGGTTTAGGGTTTAGGGTTTAGGGTTTAGGAATTTGGGTTTAGGGTTTAGGGTTTTAGAGTTTAAGAGTTTAGGGTTTAGGGTTTAGGGTTTTTAGGGATTTGGGTTTAGGGTTTGTGGTTTCGCGTGTGCCGGGTCCTTCGCCCCATGGCCAGCCAGTGAGGTAGTTTGCACGTCAACCGGGATCCAAGTGGCCGGGGGCAGATGTCTGCGCCAGCATCCCATCTGATGGACATGGAGTGTCTGTCCTATTCACCCTCTTTGGTCTTTTTTGTGCAAGCTCAGGTCCCTGCGAGTCGAGCTTCGTCAGAGACGAGTTTTTCGAGGAAGGGCTTGCGTGTCAACACCAAAAAGTACCCTCAACCCTCAAGCCGCAACCCTCAACCCTAAGTGCCCCTAAGCCCCCAAACCCTTAAACCCCTAAACCCACCCTAAACCCCTAAACCCCTAAACCCCTCAACCCCTCAACCCCTCAAATCGCTGTGCCGCGACAGTTGGCTCTAAAAGGGAGGCCAAGAGTCGGCAACCACTGTCCACAGAAGGCCTCTGCCGCTGAGATGTGGGGGGGGGGGGGTCTCTGAAAATTTTGGGTAGCCTTTTTGGGGTTTAGGGTTTAGGGTTTAGGGTTTAGGGTTAAGGTTAAGAGGCGCACCCGCCTAGTTGTTGACCTTGCAGGCATCAAGGATGGGAAGCCCGCCGGCCATGGACACCCTGTCTAATCACATCGTCGCACTTTGGGTTGCACGAGCTTCGGTTGTGCAAGGATGTGCTACTGGAAGTCCTCTCAGGTCGCCCAACTCAGCAAGACGAAGATGTGCATGCAACACAGAAGGCTGCGTTTTGTTGGCTCTGGATGCTTTGCATGGAGTCCTTGCCATGTTCAGCCCATGAACCTACATTGATCAGGGGCCTTTGCAAAGAGGGAAACTGCTGCCGCTTTGCGCATTCAGCCGACCAGTTGCGACCAGCGCCAGATCTGGCGCGCCTCGGTTGCATTGGTGCTTTGCTTGGAGGTTCATGGTACTTATAACCAATTATAACTGCACTTAGAACTGTACTTAAAGGGGCCATATTAGGGCACTTAAGGGGCTTATAAGTGGATTTTAAGTACAGTTCGAATTGGTTAGTAAGTGCCATGAACTCCAAGTGGGAGTGTGCCTGCGTGGATGGCAAAGACTCCGTCATGGCAAGCAGGAGACATGTGTGAGTGTATGGGTATGTGTGTGTGTGTGTGTGACCGTACTCAGGAAAACGGCAATTTGCCGTGCATTCTCTCGAGCCTTGCCTAAATTTTGCTTGCGACGTGTTGGGCAGTGGGTGTGATTCTTTTTTGTCGTGCTTAGCCTGGTACAGCTTGACGAGCTGTCGAGGTGGAATGTGTGCGGAGGCATCCGGTTGCACCGACGTTGGCTTTACATGGAATGTCTCTCTTGCAATACATGCAGGCCGACTGCAAGTTTGCACATGGTGAGCAAGAGCTTCGCGTTAGTCCGAGCGTCTACAAAACTCAGCAGCAGGGCCGCACATCACGAATGTCTTGGACGGTTAGTTGTCTTGGTGCAGCTGGCTGTCGGGTGTGCTTTCACAACGAGGCTGTGCAATTTTTTCGCCCGCGGTCACTGCAAGAAGGGTGCTGTGCTCAGCCTGGATCCCCAAGCCCCTACACCTAAGTCCTAAATCCTGTTGCAGCAAGGCGAGCGCTGCCGGCATGCTCATGGCCGAAGAGAGCTACGTGAGTTTCAGGCGCATTCTGAGCCATCATTTGGGAACATTTTCCGAAATAGGGGTGCCCTTCAGATACACCAAAATCGAAATACCCCTATTTTCGGAAACCCCCATGTGTCCTTTGGGAGGTTCAAGACGAGAACCAACTTGAAAAGGCCAACGTTCAGCGTTTGTCGGAGTGGTCTCGTAGGAATGCTGTAGGGATCCCGCTTCAGGACCTGCCAAACCGAGATCGTCTAGAAGGCGGGCGAAGGGTTTAGGGTTTAGGGTTTAGGGTTTAGGGTTTAGGGTTTAGGGTTTAGGGTGTAGGGTGTAGGGTGTAGGGTGTAGGGTGTAGGGTACATAGCCAGCTGCCACGACTGTACCTGCTGTTGGCTGTGGTCGCCCAGACTCCCCGGATGTCTTCAGCACGCCCCAGAAGGCTCGCGGCCAAACTCCGAAGCAAAAGTTGCTTGTGCGGTTTAGTTCTTTTAGCGAGCTGTTGCTGCAGGCGAGGCTTAGTGACTTTGATTTGCAAAGCGAAAAAAGATGTGTCATCCGGACTCTGCAGGGACAGATCAGAGCACCGCCGGGGCTTCAGCGCCAAGTTCTTGGCGACCTGACCAACCAGGACCTGTCCAAGCGAGATGTTGGAGGTGGGTTTAGGGTTTAGGGTTTAGGGTTTAGGCTTGGGGAATCACACACTTTTGCCGCTGTTCGCTTGGCAGCGGTACAGGTAGTTCTCCGGACATCTTCACGACACCGAAGAAGGCTTGGACAGAAGCTGAAGCAAGAAGTACTCTGCCGCCGATGCTAGACTTCGGGCCTACCTGCTTTTTCTCGAACATCCTACTGCCTTTTCGAATCCGATTGTCCCCAGCTTCCCTTAATACACAGTGCCGCTGATCCTGGCTGATATGTCGTCGTTTGCGCGTTCGATGTTTGTACTGTGCCCTGCCTCATGTTCTCCAAGGAAACCTTGTCAATATGCTAGTCATGCAGACGTGATACAGTACACGGTTGACGAATGTTATTGCCTGAAAGGCATACAAAGAGAACATGGCGACTCCCCCATCGAGCTTGCCCATGAAGGCCCTTTCATGTTCTTCGTTCGCAGGGTCATATGATGGCAACAAATCAGATTCAGCTTGGCCCTGAACCCTGGACCCCAAACCCTAAACCTCAACACTGCGCTTGTCCACAAGATGGCAGGTCGCTCTTCCCGGCCACACGCCCTTGACAGGAGTACCAGGTAGGGGCTTCAGGGTGCAGGGTTTAGGGTTCGCGGGGGGTATTGACATCTTAAGAACTCAGAGCCTAACTTTTGTGTAGATGATGATGGTAGGGTTATACAACCGTTTACGGATTCTCAAGTTGCCCTACTAGGGGTACCTTATTGGGGCCCGCATTATGAGGGAGTCTTGCTTTTCGGGGGTCTGTTTAGGGGGTCCCCTGCTATCGGAAACCCCTGAATTTCAAGTTTTTAAGGTACGCTCTA